CTGATTTGGGGTCTCTCTCTGATTTGGGGTCCCTCCCTGATTTGGGGTCTCTCCCTGATTTGGGGTCTCTCCCCGTTATTTTGGGTTCCCAGGTCCGTGCTCTCCCCTCCCCGGGTCGCTCTGCTCTCCCCCCAGCCCTGCCGTGGGTTCCCGGGGGGTGTGAGCTGCGGTTCCAGCTCTCGGGGGTCCCTCCCTGATTTGGGGTCTCTCTCTGATTTGGTGTCTCTCCCCGTTGTTTTTGGGGTCTCTCCCTGATTTGGGGTCTCTCCCAGGTCCGTGCTCTCCCCTCCCCGGGTCGCTCAGGGGTCCCCCCAGCCCTGCCGTGGGTGCCCGGGGGGTGTGAGCTGCGGTTGCAGCTCTCGGGGGTCCCTCCCTGATTTGGGGTCTCTCCCCGTTATTTTTGGGTTCCCAGGTCCGTGCTCTCCCCTCCCCGGGTCGCTCTGCTCTCCCCCCAGCCCTGCCGTGGGTCCCCGGGGGGTGTGAGCTGCGGTTGCAGCTCTCGGGGGTCCCTCCCTGATTTGGGGTCTCTCCCAGGTCCGTGCCCTGCCCTCCCCGGGTCGCTCAGGGGTCCCACCGGGGTTGCCGTTTGTTCCCGGGGGGTGTGAGCTGCGGTTGCAGCTCTCGGGGGTCCCTCCCTGATCTGGGGTCTCTCCCTGATTTGGGGTCTCTCCCAGGTCCGTGCCCTGCCCTCCCCGGGTCGCTCTGTGCTCCCCCCAGCCCTGCCGTGGGTCCCCGGGGGGTGTGAGCTGCGGTTGCAGCTCTCGGGGGTCCCTCCCTGATCTGGGGTCTCTCTCTGATTTGGGGTCTCTCTCTGATTTGGGGTCTCTCCCAGGTCCGTGCTCTCCCCTCCCTGGGTCGCTCAGGGGTCCCCCCGGGGTTGCCGTGGGTCCCCGGGGGGTGTGAGCTGCGGTTCCAGCTCTCGGGGGTCCCTCCCTGATTTGGGGTCCCTCCCTGATTTGGGGTCCCTCCCTGATTTGGGGTCTCTCTCTGATTTGGGGTCTCTCCCCGTTGTTTTTGGGGTCTCTCCCAGGTCCGTGCTCTCCCCTCCCCGGGTCGCTCTGCTCTCCCCCCGGGGTTGCCGTGGGTCCCCGGGGGGTGTGAGCTGCGGTTGCAGCTCTCGGGGGTCCCTCCCTGATTTGGGGTCTCTCCCCATTGTTTTTGGGGTCCCTCCCTGATTTGGGGTCTCTCCCAGGTCCGTGCTCTCCCCTCCCCGGGTCGCTCAGGGGTCCCTCCGGGGTTGCCGTGGGTCCCCGGGGGGTGTGAGCTGCGGTTGCAGCTCTCGGGGGTCTCTCCCTGATTTGGGGTCTCTCCCCGTTGTTTTTGGGGTCTCTCCCAGGTCCGTGCTCTCCCCTCCCCGGGTCGCTCAGGGGTCCCCCCGGGGTTGCCGTGGGTGCCCGGGGGGTGTGAGCTGCGGTTGCAGCTCTCGGGGGTCCCTCCCCGCTCGAACGGGTCCCGGTTCGTGCTCGCCGTCACCGCCCTGGACGGGGGGGCCCGGCGGGAGCTGCGGCCCCGGAGGGACCTCGACGACGAGTTCGCCCCGGGAGTGTTCGAGGTGAGGCCCTGGAGCCCTCTGTCCTTGCTGGCAGGGGAATTGAACTTGGGTTTCGTTTAATTTATAGTTTCTTTAATTTATATTTCATTTTATTTATATTTTCTTTGATTTATATTTCACTTAATTCATATTTTATTTAATTTGTATTTTATTTAATTTATATTTTATTTAATTTGTATTTCATTTAATTTATATTTTATTTAATTTGTATTTTATTTAATTTGTATTTCATTTAATTTATATTTTATTTAATTTATAGTTCATTTAATTTATATTTTATTTTATTTATATTTCATTTAATTTATGTATTATTTAATTTATATTTTTTAATTTATATATTATTTAACTTACATATTATTTAATTTATATATTATTTAATTTATATATTATTTAATTTATATGTTATTTAATTTATACATTATTTAATTTCTTTTAAGTTAGTTTATATTTAAATTAATAACTTATATCTAGATTAATTTATGTTTAATTGAATCTGTTTAATGAAATTTAATTGATTTAATTTATTAATCTATTTAATGTAATTTATTTTTAATTTACATTTAATTTCATTTCAATTTAACTTAATTTCAATTTAATTTCATTTCTAGTTAGTTTCATTTGTACTGAACTTATATTTAACTTCAATTTAATTTAATTTCTAGTTAATTTAATTTATATTCAATTTATATTTAATTTAATTTACATTTAATTGAATTTCTAAGTTTTACTAAATTTAATTTACATTACATTTAATTTATATTTCATTTACATTTAACTTAATTTCTACTTAATATGCATTTAATTTAATTTCTATTTCTTGTCTATTTAAATGATATTTATTTTTAATTTAATTTAATTTTTATTTTAATTTATTTACGTTTAATTTACATTCACATTTAATTTATTTTGCATTTAATTTAATTTTAATTTAATTTGTATTCATTTTAATTTATATTTAATTTAATTTCATTACCTGTGTGCTTTGGGGTCTCCAGGGGTTGTGGGTGGGAAGTTTTCCCGTCTCTCGGTGACTCCGGGTGGGCTCCGGGCCCTGCCCCGAGCGACCCCGTCCCACCCCAGCAGGTCCCTCCCTCGCCCCCCGGGGTGTTCCCACCCCAAATCCCCTCATCCCAATCCCATTTCCTGCTCCCCCCACAGACACAGTCCCTGGTGGCTCAATCCCAATCCCAATCCCAAATCCCCTCATCCCACCCCATTCCCTGCTCCCCCCCCAGACACAGTCCCTGGTGGCTCAATCCCAATCCCAATCCCAATCCCAATCCCAATCCCATTCCCTGCTCCCCCCCAGACACAGTCCCTGGTGGCTCAATCCCAATCCCAATCCCAATCCCAATCCCAATCCCAATCCCTGCTCCCCCCCCCGACACAGGCACTGGTGGCTCAGTCCCCATCTCCCACCCCATTCCCTGTTCAGACACAGTCCCTGGGGACCCAATCCCAATCCCAATCCCAATCCCATTTTCCCCCAGATGCAGTCCCTGGGGACCCAATCCCAATCCCAATCCCATTCCCCCCCAGACGCAGTCCCTGGTGGCCCAATCCCAATCCCATTCCCTGTTCCCCGTACAGACGCAGTCCCTGGTGGCCCCATCCCAATCCCAATCCCAATCCCAATCCCAATCCCATTCCCCCCCAGACACAGTCCCTGGTGGCCCAGTCCCAATCCCAATCCCAATCACATATTCCCACAGACACAGTCCCTGGTGGCCCAATCCCAATCCCAATCCCATTCCCCCCCAGATGCAGTCCCTGATGGCCCAATCCCAATCCCAATCCCATTTTCCCCCACAGACACAGTCCCTGGTGGCCCAATCCCAGTCCCAATCCCAATCCCAATCCCATTCCCACAGACGCAGTCCCTGGTGGCCCAGTCCCAATCCCAATCCCAATCCCATTCCCCCAGACACAGTCCCTGGTGGCCCGATCCCAATCCCAATCCCATTTTCCCCCCCAGACACAGTCCCTGGTGGCCCGATCCCAATCCCAATCCCAT